ACTCCCTACAGCAAAGCCTAAATTCGGAAAAGTTACCTGTGAGCGCACAAAATCAGTAAAATGTGTATACTCGTTTCAGTTTTCTCATCTTAATTCTCGTGCTACGTTGTTCGTTTTGGTATTATTGTGTTCGCAATTAAATTCCCTGCAGATGTATATGCATATAATGTCCAAAAGCCTGGCGAGACTCCCCGCAGCAAAGCCTAAAGTTACCTGTGAATGAGCACCAATTTGCATACCACAACCTAATGTGTATATTCATTCAGTTTGATAACATCAATTTTCGTGTTACATTGCTTGTTTTAGTATCAAATTGTTCGCAATATAAAGGTGCGCATTTTAAAACTAGTCTCATAATAATAGAGCAATACCTGTAACTGGAATTTTAACAAATATTTTATGTTGTATGTAGCCAAGCTTGTAAAGCATAAGGTAGTATTGAAAAGATTATAGGAAAATATCAGTTTGTAAGGTAGTCTTGAAAAGATCGCTTAGTATGGTCCCACACAGGAAGAGATTCAGCTTGCCTCAAAGAGTGTCCATCAGTCAGGAAGAGATTCAGCTAGCCTCAAAGAGTGTCCGTCAGTCAAGAAGAGATTCAGGTATTCTTGAAAATATCTATGGAAAACACCACCATGGAAGCTGCTAACACTGTTCATCTATGCTACTTGTATCAGATGCATCATTATTGAATGCAGAAAACAATTCATCTATGTATCATCTAAATAAATTGGAGATAGCATAGGATTGCAAGGGTGACGCTCAGAGCTACAACTGGATACGCTCGCTGTATCGTCCTCATAGGTGCTGTATCACTTGCATCCGATATTTGTGTTAGGTCCTTATTGTGCCTAGCTTCACCAATATTATGACCCTTACGTTCTTCAAACAATAAGGTTTGAATTTCACCGACAGAGCGTTATCTTTCAACACCGCGTCGGACAGGTGTTTGGAAGCCAGAGGTGCGTGTGCTACTCATGGTTGCTCATTCAGTACTAACCCTGCTTCAGCTGCTTCTGAACTGGTGCTGGCTGCTGTTGTACTGGTGCTAGCTACTGCTGTGCTCGTGCTGGTTATGGCTGTGCTAGGTACAGCTGTGTTTGTGCTGGGTACGGCTGTGCTCATGCTGGGTACGGCTGTGCTCGTGCTGGGTACGGCTGTGCTCGTGCTGGGTACGGCTGTGCTCATGCTGGGTACGGCTGTGCTCGTGCTGGGTACGGCTGTGCTCGTGCTGGGTACGGCTGTGCTCGTGCTGAGTACTGCTGTGCTCGTGCTGAGTACTGCTGTGCTCGTACTGGGTACAGCTGTGCTCGTGCTTGGTACGGCTGTGCTCGTGCTGGGTACGGCTGTGCTTGTTACTTTTCTGCTACTAGCTCTTGCAAAATATTGACTCATTTTTGGCACTAATAAGGCACTATCAGCAAGCCCCTGAGACATCTTGTATAACAATACAGCTGTAGTTAAAAACTGGTAAAATTCCATGATTATTCTTCTACTGGTGGAGAAACACGTCACTCTCAAAGGTAATGGCACTGGGTGCCTACTGTATGAATGCAGACTTGGTCTGTACACTCTACAGTAGGCTGGTGTTCCAGCCTACTGTAGCCAGATCCAGTAACTTAAATTTCTCTCAAATATTAGATTTGCATCAAATTATATATTTTTGGGTCATATATTTAGTTTAGCAACATTATTACTATAATAAGAGCTATAAAATATACTCATTTTGAACTGATTTATTAATTTTATTATTTCGAAGCCGTAGGTCATTGAACTGTGGCAACAAAATTGAAGGAAATATGCATGATGCTGTGTGTACACGGATTAGATCCATTCAATCGTGCTGGAGTTGTTGTGCCAATAACATGAATAATTTCTCAAATAGCAGATGTCTCTCATATTACAGTATATTTTTTGTTTAATTTAGTTTAGTTTAATTAAGATAATAAGAGCTATTAAAACACCAGTTTTAGAAATGATTTAATAATCTGAAACATTCAAAGTCATTGATCACTGAACTATGGCGACACAGACGATAGTGAGTGAAACTTCACTGTAAAGGGAGGTTTACAGTACAGTATTCCCTTTTCTGTCCACCCTCACTCATCTTGTTTCATCACAGAAAATGTATATAAGAAGATTTCGACATATTAGCTAGCTATTCATGCCTCTAAATTTATCTACAAAAATACATGTGCCACAAATCAGTGAATGAAAATCATGGAAACACAGTCGTTCACTTGTGGACCACTCTGGCTGGTATTTGGTTAATATGGTTCACTTGTTGTGTGGACCATTCTGGCTGGTGTTTGGTTTATATGGTTCACTTATTATGTGGTCCACTTGTGTGATCCAACTTGTCATATGAAGGAATTATTGATTGTAACCTGTGATAGAATGGGAAAGTTTTCCACCAGTCTGTGAACTCTTTCCCAACATTGTAAGCGTGTGGACCACTTGTGTGGTCCACTTGTCCACTTGTGTGATCCAGCTTGTCATATGAAGGCATTATTAATTGTAACCTGTAATTACCTAAGTGTAATTACCTAAGTGTAGTTACAGGATGAGAGCTACGCTCGTGGTGTCCCGTCTTCCCAGCACTCTTTGTCATATAACGCTTTGAAACTACTGACGGTCTTGGCCTCCACCACCTTCTCACTTAACTTGTTCCAACCGTCTACCACTCTATTTGCGAAGGTGAATTTTCTTATATTTCTTCGGCATCTGTGTTTAGCTAGTTTAAATCTATGACCTCTTGTTCTTGAAATTCCAGGTCTCAGGAAGTCTTCCCTGTCGATTTTATCAATTCCTGTTACTATTTTGTATGTAGTGATCATATCACCTCTTTTTCTTCTGTCTTCTAGTTTTGGCATATTTAATGCTTCTAACCTCTCCTCATAGCTCTTGCCCTTCAGTTCTGGGAGCCACTTAGTAGCATGTCTTTGCACCTTTTCCAGTTTTTTGATGTGCTTCTTAAGTGACAGAATGGGAAAGTTTTCCACCAGTCTGTGAACTCTGTCCCAACATCGTAAGCAAATCCGCACATCCCCTGCTTCGGGAAACCAGAGTACGCTGAACTGGGTGAGTAAATCCAGTCTGAAAAGTGTGCGATCTAGGCGGAGAATTGCCGAATTGGGGTACGTCGAATTGAGGTTGTACTGTACTTCAATTCACCCAGTCCAACTGATACTAATATTTGGGTTCAGGCAGCTTCAGCGTTGCATGCGCAGTTTAGGTTGCTGCAACGAATTAGGTTGGTTGCCTTTCCGGATGCCCCACGACTGCCCTGCTTTGGTTACAGGGACCCGGACATGGGGGGTGGGGGTGTTAGTTGCCTCGACTTTGGTTTCGTCTGCGCCCCCTTGTCCTTCCCTTGACCAAAGCCAAATACCAGTGGGCATTTGGCTTCGGTTTTGCGATTCTTTCCCTGCTGGAGCTGTCTTCAGACTGGCTCAAGGAGGTATCGAGGAGCTAGGTTCTGGGCCCTGCGTCCGGTGCAGGGCAAGTGTGCTTGCCTCAGCGGCTCAAGCCTGCGTCCAGTGCACTTGCCTCGGCGGCTCGGGCGTTAGCTGCCTTGTTAAAGTTGTTTGTGCCAATTCTGAAGGAAGCGGTGTCTCTGTTCTTTGCTTCACACCTCACATGTCTGCAGGAGGTGCTTGTCAACTCCTTGGAATCATCTTGGGCTCTGGCTCTTAGATTTTCATCCTCTTTTTGTCCATTGCAGCTTGCAGTGTCTGCAGTGGTGCATTTTCTGCAGGAGGCTTTGTCTAGTTGCCAGCCTATGTTGGACTTGTTGGTACTCCTGGGGGAGGGGGGCATGGTGGTCCGGCTTGGAAGGGTCATGCCAGGGCTCGGGGTTCCTTCAGTCGTCCTAAGCCAGTTGTGCCAGATTCGGAGCCGGCCCCTCCAGAGCCGGCCCCTCCAGAGCCGTGGGCTTCTGGTCAGCGTAGTGATCGCTCTGAGCGTCGGTCGGGCTTTCGTAAGGGTCGTTTGCCTTTTTGCGGTTTACCCCGTTAGCGGGGCAATGGGGGGAGGAAGGCTTGCTCAATTTGCTCTCTCCTGGTTCCACGATTTGTGGGCGCTTCGGGTGGTTTCCTACGGCAGCGTTGGGTGGCTCCTCCTCCTTCCGGGGGATCGGGGCTGGAAGGGCAGGCCTCTTCCCCAGCGCTCTGTCAGGTCATCCTGGAGTGGGTTCGCTTGGGTGTGGTCAAAATGATGGCATCCCTTAGGTGGGTTTCTTACCTGTTTCCGGCAATGAAATGGGACTGTGAGGACCTGTGGTTCATTCTGGACTTGTCCCGTCTGAACCCCTGGGCCCCTCCTTTTGGATGATCACTTTGTCCCAGGTATGGCTGCTTTTGGAGCCAGGTGCATGTATGGTGTCCCTGGACCTCTGGGATGTGTATTGGCATGTCTCGATTCATCCGGGGTTCAGGGACTGGCTCGGTTTTGTAGTGGGGTGACAGGCTTATCTTTTTCGTTTCTTTCCATTTGGCTTGAATCTGGCACCTCGCATGTTCACAATCTTTAGTTTGTTTTGGAATTCCTACCTTACTGGGTGTCTGACCTGGTAGATGGCAGACATAAACTGCTTTCAATTACTCGTGGGTGTCTATAGGCCATTGCTCCTCGTGCCTTGCTGAGGGGGCCAGGTTCTGGCGCTGGTCCCCGGTAGGCCTAGAACTTTTCGACTGACTGTTGCCACGGTCTAATATATACACATCAGCCCGGTATAGCTCCGGGGGAGCCTCTGGGTCTCACCCAGGAAATGGCGTTTCATTACATTCAACACTGGTTTATTTCTTATAGGAAAATTTGTTTTGAGTTATGAATTTTTGAGTTATGACCCGTCTCTGAGTATGGATTAAATTCGTAAATGGAGGTACCACTGTATAGCGGGTTTATATGTAGAGAGGGAGGGAGGGAGAGAAAGAGAGAGAGAGAGAGAGACATTATTATTCTAGTGTTTTAAGTGAAGGACCATGTGGTGTGTCATTCAGGTGCAGGCAGAGCGAGAGAAGCATGCTTACGACTACGAGCAAATCCAAAGTCAGCTAGATAAAGCCCATGGCCAGAATGCCAGACTTTCCAAAGAGCGTGAGGCTGCACAACATGAGGCTGACAGACTACGAGAAAAATACGAGAAAGCACAGGTAAGTTATTGCTGTAATTTTTGTTACTCATAGCCTGCCTGTTTTCCAGCATGTGTTGGATGTGACTATAGGAATAGCTAACCTTATGCCAGAAAAAAAAAACAGATTTCAAATTTGCAGCATTATACAAATAGTAGCGCCACGTTGAAACTAGTTAGTTCTGGTTATTGTGACCATTTTTTCTTCGGAATTTTGCTGGCTGAATTGGAATTTTGCTGCATCCAGTCTGCAAAGCTTTTCATTTTAACAGAATGACAAAAATCGATGTTGTTTATTGCAAGACCTGAGCTTTTAATTTAAAAAATGCAGCCACGTCAACCTTCAACATCTTACCTCTTCTTCTCCCTCTTGCATTTGAGACCACCTGGCTAACCCCATAGCGGGTTTTCCCTCAGACGCAGATGGCTCGCATGCAGAAAGAACGAGAGGCAGCCACTTCTGAAGTGGAAGCGCTGACTGAGAAGGTGGATTTGGTTCAAGCGCAGCTGGGCAAGGCTCACAGGGACCGTGAGATTGCATTCGGGGACCTGGAACTGCTCAAGGAAAAGTACGAGAAGACCTCGGCACAGATGCAGAAACTCATGGTGGGTGCAGCTTTATAGTGGGGTAGTCTTTTCAACAGAAGGCGAGTCATTTAAAGTGGAATATGGAGTTAATTAGCATACCTAGTGGGACTTACCCCTCTCTTTAATACACAAGCTTGGGATCCTGAAAGTACGATGTTTTGTCTTTATGGTTGATAGTGCCATGATTGTTAATATAGACTACATTGGCAGTGATATTAAAATTCTGAAATTGAGGTGGCTGGAAGAGGGATGAATAGTTTAAAGATATTTTACAAAATGTATACAGTCCTATATTCATCAAATATATAGTATTGTTGAAGGAAGTTTGTGAGCCATGGTATGTCTTTATGGTTCATGGAGTAAACAAATTTGCCTCAGCCTTTATAGAAATTTATCTGGTCATTCTTTTAACTGAAAATTTTTGAATCCATTACCTCTTTCAGATATATAAAATTGCTTGAAGATATATATTAATACTTATAAAATGTGAAACCTAACTAGAAATTCTTGAATCAATAACCAATACAACTGCTGGTGTTACACATGGCGAAAATATATATTTTAATTATTTTTCAGTAGAGAGTAGTAGAGTGTTAATGTTTGTAGACATTCAGTATTATGAAACAAATTTAATTATTCACTACCCTTAATTTTGTCCTAATTATTTTTTTTATGTACATGTCAAGCACAGAATGCATGTAATGGCTAAATGATTTTGTTTGGCTAGAGATGATGAACCTGCTGTATTCAAAATACTGACCATAGCATGATAAAATTAAGCAAGTGAGGAAGTACCCAGTAAATTGCATTGCTATTGGTAAGTAGTGTGCTTCTGCTTTTACTAAATGCTTTTCTGGCTGTTAAACATCAGCAATTGCAACAGAATGGAAATTATTAGTATAAAATGTAGTTCATTCTGTTAAGTAAAGAGACTAAATAGTTTTAGCTTCCATCCCATTTACTAGTTTAAAGGTTTGTAATATTTTTTTAGATAAGTAAAATGGAAACCTTTTTTTTAACCAGATTGCTTACTCAACAGTAACAAATGTTAGTGTACATTAATGCTATTTTTTTGAGATACATCTTCGAGGTGAGGCAATTAATATTTGTTAAACAAATGCTGTATCACACTCAGCACATACTATTCTATCTTCTTCCTCTTCCCTTCATTCATCCATCAATCTCATCAGTATTCCTCACAATCCCTTCATTTATTTGTACTTACCTCCATTTAATCTGCCTACCTCCTCTCCTTACTTTCCTTCCTCTTTTTCTTTACACTTCACCCACATTATTTCTATGTCCCATCTTTTATCTCTAGCTCTTTCTACCCACTCTCTCTCTCTCTAGCTCTTTCTACCCACTCACTCTCTCTCTCTCTCTAGCTCTCTCTACCCACTCACTCTCTCTCTCTCTCTCTCTAGCTCTTTCTACCCACTCTCTCTCTCTCTCTCTCTCTAGCTCTTTCTACCCACTCTCTCTCTCTCTCTCTCTCTCTCTCTAGCTCTTTCTACCCACTCACTCACTCACTCACTCACTCTCTCACTCTCTCACTCTCTCACTCTCACTCTCTCACTCTCACTCTCTCACTCTCTCACTCTCTCTCTCACTCTCTCACTCTCTCTCACTCTCTCACTCTCTCTCTCTCTCTCTCTCTCTCTCTCTCTCTCTCTCTCTCTCTCTCTCTCTCTCTCTCTCTCTCTCTCTCTCTCTCTCTCTCTCTCTCTCTCTCTCTCTCTCTCTCTCTCTCTCTCTCTCTCTCTCTCTCTCTCTCTCTCTCTCTCTCTCTCTCTCACTCTCTCTCACTCTCTCTCTCTCACTCTCTCTCTCTCACTCTCTCTCTCTCTCTCTCTCTCTCTCTCTCTCTCTCTCTCTCTCACTCTCTCTCTCTCTCTCTCTCTCTCTCTCTCTCTCTCTCTCTCTCTCTCTCTCTCTCTCTCTCTCTCTCTCTCTCTCTCTCTCTCTCTCTCTCTCTCTCTCTCTCTCTCTCTCTCTCTCTCTCTCTCTCTCTCTCTCTCCCCCTCCCTCCCCTCCCTCTCTCTCTCTCTCTCTCTCTCCCTCTCTCCTCTCTCTCACCCTCCCTCCCTCCCTCCCTCCCCCCCTTCTTTGTCTTTCTGTCCCCTTTTCCTCTCTGTCCTTCCCCCTCTCTCTCACAATTACTAAGACTGGGGTTCATTACAGCTGTCAATAGATGTCCCTATGGAAACTGCAAGCAAAAGCTTGTTTTTCTACTTTAATTAATACATCTGAACCTGAAATAGAGATTCATTTAATTTATGAGATTATTACAGTATTTGAATCTAAGTAACTATCATATAAAGAACAGGTCCGTAGTGAAACTACAACCAAGACCTGTTATCCTACCTCAGCTCATTTGAAGCCTGCACCTGGAGACTCATTTATTTTCATGAGATTGTTTTTATTAATCATCACGAACAAACTTTATTAATATCTAAGAATCGTATAAGGAACATGATGACACAGTAGCCAGCCAGCTGTGTAATTACCTAAGTGTAGTTACAGAATGAGAGCTTCATTCATGGTGTCCTGTTTTCTGAGCACTTTTTGCCATATAAAGCTTTCGTGCTTTCATCCCTCTTTGGGTTCTTATCTTGGGGGACCTACATGTAAGCCTAATGTGTAGATATAGATACACAGGCTGCCAGTCCATGACAAAAAATAATTACTATTATTATTAAAAATTATATCATATACTGAATTTAGAGGCCTATTTTGAACCTGGTCCAACATTACATGATTCAGAAGTGTTTTAGGCGCACAGATCGAGTTCGCTTATTTCATTTTAACCACTGTACTCACCTAGTCACCTAGTTGTCTAGGCGCCAATTGACTGACTGTGACTGTGCTGCGCCAACCGAGAAAACTCAGTTGATGGGGAAACTGTGCCAACCAAGAAAACACCTTTTGAATTTTTTACCCATTCAAAATGCGTGTGCGGTAGATTGTGTACAAAATAGACTCTTGGGACCTCCAGTGAGAGGTAGCCATCTTGGACAAAATTCCCAGAATGTCTTATGGCTGCTGGCTGGTAAGTGAGGATTGAGTGAGCAGCCATGGATGGCGCACACCCCTCTGGCTCCCAAACACCTGTCCGATGCGGTGTTGAAAGATCGCTCTCTATCAGTGAAATTCAGATCTTATTGTTTGAAGAACATAAGGGTCACAATACTGATGAAGCTAGGTGCAATAAGGACCCAACAAAAAAGTCGGATGCAAGTGATACAGCACCGATGAGGATGATATAACAAGTGTATCCAGTTGTAGCTCTGAGCGCCACTCTTGCCCACCCATGCCATCTCCAATTTTTATAGATGATACATAGAGGAATCGTTTTCTGGATTCAGTGATGATGCATCTGATACAAGTAGCATAGATGAACAGTGTTAGCAACTTCCATAGTGGTTTTTCTATAGATATTTTCAAGAATAGCTGAATCTCTTCTAGAATGGCTGAACCTCTTCCTGATTGACTGAATCTCCTCCAGAATGACTGAATCTCTTCCAGTGAGGGACCTTACAAAGCGATCTTTTCAAGACTACCTTAGAAATTGATCTTTCCCTATAATCTTTTCAAGACTACGTTACGTTTTACAAGCTTGGCTATATACCACCTACAGGTACTAAAGCCAAGGGTGTTCGTGAGTGCATTATTTGCAAGCACACAGAACAAAGAAACAGAAAGCGAAAATCTATCTGTACCTGGTGCAACGAGTGAAGTTGTGCTGTGTACCATGGAATGCTTCATTGATTATCATTCACTTTCGAAATACTGTGTAATTATAAGGTGTAGTTATACGATGAGAGCTACACTCATTGTGTTCTGTCTTCCCAGCAATCTTTGTCCTATAACGCTTTTAAAGTACTGTATCAACCAGCTAATCCGGACTATATAGAAAGGACTCCCAGCCGATTTAGCACGTTTTCCGGATTAACTTAATTTTTCATCGCGGAAATCCAAAAGTGACCATTTCCAACTATTTTTATACCACAAACAACATAATTTGAATTGCCACATATAATTATAAAATATTCAACTAGAAACCTCAACTTACCCTGTTGCAGTTCGTCTTCTTGATTGATGCCACACATCTTGAAGTTAAAATATTTTCTTCAAGTTTCATCTGTTAATGCAATATCTGGGACCTTGAGCTGAATTATATCCTTCAACTCCAATATTTTTTATCTCCATCTATGTTGCTATATACTATTTTCAGGAACATGTTCTCCTTCCCTTTGTTCTTTACACCCCCTTTCTTTAATGATTTTGTTGCTTTGTCTTTATGTACCATTTCACTAGCTTTCCAGTCCCTGACACTCTATAGAAAAAAGAATTCCTTCTTCTTCATTTCTATTACCATTTAAACATTGCGCTTGAATGAGGTTCATTTTCAGCTTTTCTCTGTCCTCCTTTGAGGGGTTTTGTCTTATTGACCAAAGTTTGCCATCCTCATCACATTGCAATTTTCTGGCATTTCTAAGCACTTCTGTCATATATTTCACTCCATTAACCACCATGCTGCGCCGCGTTTATTGTGAAATTTCCCCTGTGCGCATGAAATAAAGTATTCCCCCAAAATTTCTTTTCTTCATAAAATGATAAATTTCTTTACCTGAACATGTCCATGTAAAATAAATACCAAATTCCACTTACTTTGGCTGTGGGGACGTGGGCAAGGTGCACTGTGACATCATCAGGGGCTGGTAGCTCGTGCGTGACTCGCCCAGACACGGTCGCGCAGGCCATTTAAGCACCGGGTGTTGCCACAAATATATTTTCAATTATTTGTTCTATGTATTTCCAATGTGGTTTTATTTGTTTTTTATTGTATATGATGCATATTTGTGTCCTTTACAATATGTATACAGAAGAACGTTCATAACGTTCCATGGAACTGTGATACATGTGTCAGTAATGTGGCCACAATAAATGTTTATTGTCACAATATTACTTGTTAAAAATTCACTAAAATTAAAATATGTACAGTTTCACACACTATT